GTGCTCTACAACTTCAGATCTCACTCAAGGTGTTTAAGAATGGAACCTGCAAATGGTAGGTGATACTTACCAGTTCATGTTGATGAGTAAGAGGAGAGAAAATTCTGAGTGTTGGGGTTGTGTCCTGGTGCATAATAAGCCACCCCTAAGCCCAGGCTTCAACCACTATTTGTTTATAGTTCGTGGTGCAGCCACCTGGGCTGGGTCAGCTGGGCAATTCTGCTGGTCTCCCTCGAGGTCTCACACAGGTGCCTTCCTCTGATGGCTTGAACGGGGCTGTAATGACGAGGCTGGCTTTGCCCACGTGCCTGGCATGGTCTCACATGTCCCAGGACCTCTTTCTACATCCCTCTTCCTCCAGCAGGGTAGTTAGACGTTCTTAGCGCATGGATTCTAGGTTCAAGGGAGAATTCTGAGATGACAAGTGATTATGAAATTTCTGTTTACATCACTCTTGTTAATGTCACATTTGCCAAAGCAAGTCACATGACCAAACTAAGACTCAGTGTGAAGAGAAAGAATTCCCAGAGGCCTGCTTCATTGGAGGCCCTCCATGTAATAAATGGCCCATCTTAAACTAAAAAAATATTTTAAATCAAAATGTTTAAAACTTACATAAATACAGATTCAAAATTAGGTTACTTGGAAAATCCAGCGGATGTTCTAGAGCTTTGTACGATGGCACTGGTATTTGGGGATTTTTTTAGTGGCTTGTGGGGCTATAAAAACTCACCAGATTAGCCCTGACCAGTTTGGCTCAATGGATAGAGCATCGGGCTGTGGACTGAAAGGTGCCAGGTTCAATTCCGGTCGAGGGCACGTACCTTGGTTACAGGCTTGATCCCCAGTGGGGGACGTGCAAGAGGCAGCTGATCGATGTTTCCCTCTCACCGATGTTTCTAACTCTCTATCCCTCTCCCTCCTCTCTGTGAAAAATCAATAAAACAATATTAAAAAAGAAAAAAACCCTCACCAGATTAGCCCAACCACGTCAACCAATCAATCCATCAATATTTATTGAGCACCTGTTAAGTCATTATCACGATGCAGAGTGGTATGGACGACACGTTTTCCTGTTTATCGGATGCCCGAAATGGAGTCAGAGAATACAGATAGTAAAAATAATGTGGGAAACAGAATAAGGCAGAATATCACTGAGTGCTTAGTTGTCCCATATAGAATGCAAAGCAGTAAAGAATTTAAACTTTCAGTTATACTTTGTTCTGATGAGGCTTGCAACACATGCGGACATGGTCTGAGCGTTGGAATAACCTTTGATAATCCAGGTCTGAGCACGTAGACTGGACCATGGCTACCGCCTGGCTCTCCTGGTCCTGCTCTCCAAGGTGGAGAGCACTGCTTTATGGGTACAGAAAACGAGGGAAATCAGCCACGTGAGAGGGGATCAGACCTTCTCAAATCTGAGCCCTTGCCCTCTGAGAAGGCAGGCGCCTTGCAAGTCAATTGTGCAGCGTCTGCCTGGTTCCTTTTGTCTTTAGCAAACTGCACTCGGGGCCTAGTGCTCATTCGACTGCCCTGGGCGGCAGACAGCTGAGGAGTCATGTGGATCGATGGGCATGTGATGGCTTTGGAACAGCAACGCATCCCAGACAGGGAGGATTGAAGAGCAAGGAAGAACTAACACCAATTCAACACCTACTTGTGTGCCAGACACTGTTAGACCCTGCGGATAAAAAATAAATTACACTGCTGCCTGCTCCAGGAGAGCGCACAGTCTGGTAAGCAGGCAGATCAAGTGCTGCAATAGGGGCATGAACGGTGTGCCCGGCGAGAGGCGGCCCAGCTCTGAGGGCAAAGGGAGCGTTCTGGGTGGGGCTAGGGAAAGCCTGCCAGGCGGTGGTGCCCACGGTCAGTTCTGAAGAACTAACTGGAGCTATAGGGTGGCGAGGGGGATTCCTGACAGACGATATGGCCGTGAGCAACGTCGTGGAGACACACGGAGGAATGGGAAACCGTTTGCGAAGGCTGGAGGTGAGGGCACAATCCCCGCAAGTGAAGGAGATGGCAGGACGGCGGGCGAGGGCCAGCTCACCAACCACCCTGGGAAGGAGCTAGTTCAGTCCTCATCCTGAGTGAGAAGAAACACGACGTGATGTTAAGCAGAGTAAGGACATGGTTACGGCCGCAGCCTAGTGACAGCACTGCCAAGAGGAACTGCCTGTGTTTTATCGTCTTCTCTGTTCAGCGTGGTAGCCATGAACCACATGTGGCTGTTGAACACTGACTGCTTCCACAGGGAGTCCCTCCGGTCAAGGCGGCTTCATTCACTGAGCGTCTATTTCTCATTTACATAGCAGCCCAGTGCAGGTGTGTGTGGAGCAATCTCCCATGTGGGCCGGCCTGTGGATTGTGGATTCCCTCCATCTCCTTGGCCTCGGAGCCCTTATCTCCAGGCAAGAGAAGAGCTAGAACAGGAGGGATCGCACAGAGGGCTTTTAATGGCTACTATTCCTCCCTTTCCATTGGCTCAGAATCAGTCATATGACCCCACGGAGATGCAAGTGGGGTGGACAATGGATTCCTCGGGCAGCACCACTTCCTGGAACAGCTGTGCACTATGCATGGGGGCACCAGTCCTTGGTAGGCAGCTAGTCATTGCCGCCACATCCCAGCAGGTTATGTTGATGGTCCCCGTGGCTCTTTGGTCTTTTCCTCACCATTGTTTCCATGCCATCGACTTGGCCCCTCTCTCATCTCCTCCCACGCCCTCAGGGTATGTCTGTGGTTTGCTCCTATTTTCCAGTTGTTTTACAGAGCCTGGCTGTCCAACCGGCCACACTCCGAATCCTCTTTGGAATTTAGTTCTATGGAAAAGCGCTCTGCACGAGGTAAGGAAATAACTGGTAAGTGGGTGAGGTATAGAGTCACGGAGTGCCTAGTCACAGAGTGCATACCCAGGCCCTCCATAACTCCAGTGTAGAAGTGTACAGACATGAGCAAGTTGGATCTACCTGGTCTTAAGAGGAAAATATTGAATTCAGCATCCCCACTTATTCTGTAAACTACTCAGCATTAAGGGGGCTATTAAAGACGGTTACGTGGTGAGAGGTTTCAGTGATTATATCTTTTTTTAAATGTCTTCCTCACATTATTTCTTTCTTTTATAATTCTTTATTGTTGAAAGTATTATATATGCCCCCCTCGCCACCCCCCCCATTATATCTTTACAATTATTACACATATGTTCTAGGGCTCAGGTGAAATGAGTTCAATCTAGATTTTGACCAAGAACTACCAATCTGCTGCTTTGTTTGAGGCACTTCTATTGAGATCTTAGACCATATGACGAAGAAAACGTCCTTGGGCCAGCCTCTGTCCTCAAGCGTTTCCATCCTTTATTATCAAACTAGGGGCCCAGGGCACGAATTCCTGCACATTGAAAGGAACTGTGGGCTGTGAGGCTGCAGTGGGCACAAGTGTGGGTCTCGGCCCATCCTCCACACCCCTGCCCACCCGGCCCCTCCCGCCATGGTCCCTGCTCCCGCCGCTGCTGCTCCCACATGCTGGCAACATCCGACCTACTCGCACCCACTGATGGTGCAGAGGGATTGGGGCCGGCACCATCAGCGGGTATGAATGGCAGCTGCTGACCTGATTGCCCCTCAGGAGCAGGGGGAGGTGAAGAAGCCCTCAGGGTCGATCAGGGCTGGCAGCCGCCACTTGCACCTACTGATGGTGATCGGGACCAGCACCAGGCACCAGCAGCGGGTGTGAGTGGGGCCGGGACCGGCAGCAGGTGCGAGCGCTAGACAGGACACTAGAGGCTTGTCTTGATGACAGTGACCAGCACCCATCTTAGTCTGGTGCCCCCGCTCACCTGCTCCAGCATCCTGCTTAAGCCAACGCCCGCCATGTTCTGCACACGCCCCCTGGTGGTCAGAGCATGTCATAGCAACCTGTTGTTCCGGTTGTTCCACCATTCGGTCTATTTGCATGTTAGCTATTTATTATATAGGATAGCCTTTTATTGTGAAAATTCTTACCAAAATGTGTGTCTCTGCGGTGATATATTTTGGACATAGGAACAAAGTGCAGTGTGGCTGGGCCCCAGCAACTGACATATTTTAACGCTGCCTGTGGTGTTAACTCTGTGGTCACAGAGACTGTGAAACAGGATTCAAATCCTTAAACTTATGGTGATCTGAAAGGAAAAAAATTGAAAACGATATAAGAGGATATCTTAGAGGCTGCTTTCTAATTTTCACTCAAAATCTCTGCCAGATAAATTACTAACCTTCATGTCAAGAGCATGAAAGCTCCATTTCTTAAATCTCCACTAAGCCCGAGAAGATGAGATAATTTCTCTCTAGCTTATTTTTACTCATTTCCACAAAATGAAAATAATGGCTTTCACCCACTTACCTTTCAGGATTAGCTCTGGGCTAAGGGGGGAAATTTCACTGTAAAGAAAAGGTACTACCTGGCCGGCGTGGCTCAGTGGTTGAGTGTCGATCTATGAACCAGGAGGTCACAGTTCGATTCCCGGGCAGGGCACACGCCAGGGTTACTGGCTCAATCCCCAGTGTGGGGCGTGCAGGAGGCAGCTGATCAATGATTCTCTCTCACCATTGGTATTTCTATCTCTCTCTCCCTCTTCCTTCCTCTCTGAAATCAATAAAGCATATTTTTTTTTAAAGAAAAGGTGCTATCATAGAGAGGTAGGCTTCCTTCCACCCCAGTAGCACTGCTTGCAGTAACACATACCTGGAGTGAAGAAAAGGATTTCTTATTAACTAATATATAAAATTACCTGCTCTGCCCAACCGCATAGTCCACATAAAGGCCAAACTGGAGTGTGTGAAGCAAGAGCTGGAGAGGAAATTCATGCAGTCGGAATGTGAATTCTTCGCAGAGTCTTTGGCAGACTGGCGACCAGGGAGTGCCCTATGGGAGGCACCCGTGCCAAGGTTCCAGCCAACTTGGAATCTGCCAGCTGTGAGCAGAAACTCTGCTCCAAGAATTTCACTCTGGTTAGGTGAACAGAGGATGCTGAGCTCAGAAACAAACCAGACACAGGCCACGTGCGAGGGAGCATCCCTGCTTTCCAAGGAGCCCTCTGACCAGTGGCCTGGAGCAGGGCCTGGGGCAGGGCCTGGGGCCACTCTGAGGGGGAGGGGAGGTGTGCTGCAACCCCAGCAGGCACGTGGCTGGGTTCTGGATTTTGGGTACCATTTTGTAGTAATGAGCACTTGGGCCATTTCCTTGACCTTGACTTCTTACCTATCAATAAAAGTGGGTGATGTTGAATCTGTGTTTTCCAATGCCCAGGGGGCTAGGGAGATCCAGGGGGCGAGCCTCAGTTTTTAAAATGACGAGCAGAAACCCTGCTCTACAGAAACCCTGCCTGAGAGCCTGGCAGCGTAGGCTGATGGAGGCCCACTTTCTGCACTCTGGGCTGGAGCGATTTAAGCTCAGAACGGTCACACTAATTGCTCCATGCTAGTTACCAGCTATTTATAGGTCTTTAATCATATGGAAAATGTTTGTTAGGAAATAATATTTTGTAAAACTAGAGCTCCTGAGAGAAGAGTAATCTATCTATCTATATAAAAGCCTAATCGACCGGATGACCTGACGACCAGATGACCGGCCGGTAGCTATGATGCACAGTGACCACCAGGGGGCAGACACTTGATGTTGGAGCTGCCCCCTGATGGTCAGTGCACTCCCACAGCCAGAGCGCCGCTCAGCTGACAAATGGGTCCAGATGCCGGGCTCAGGGCTGGCGAGCACAGCTGCTCTCCCATGGACACTCCCCCGGTGTGCCCCAGCTGCAGTGGTGGCAGGCACAGCAGGCCGGGGTGAGCGGGAGCGGTGCAGCGCCCAGCCTGGGCTCAGGCTCCTCCCTGACAGCCTGCTGCTTCGTGCACTACTTCACGCTGCGCGGGATCAATGTGGACAGTGGGCCGGAGCCCAATGAGCTGGCAGGTAAGGCCAGGCTGTGGGAGCGTGGAGGTCTACTAATCCCCGCAGCCTGGGCCTAGGGACCCCACTGGTGCATGAGTTTGTGCACTGGGCCTCTAATAAAAGCATAAAGCCCTAGGTGGTTTGGCTTAGTGGATAGAGTGTTGGCCTGCAACTGAAGATTCCCAGGTTCGATTCTAGTCAGGGGCACATGCCTGGGTTGTGGGCTCGATCTTCAGGGGTGGGGGTGTGCAGGAGGCAGCCGATCAGTGATTCTCTCTCATCATTGATGTTTCTATCTCTCTCTCCCTCTCCCTTCCTCTCTGAAATCAATAAAAATATATTTAAAAAGCATATGAAAGTGCATGTTAGAAGGTTGGTTCTGAAAGATGCTCTCAACCTTCACAGCAGAGCTAACCAGGTGGACCATCAAACATCTCTCGTTCCCTCTGGGTTTTTAGGGGAGGCCTGACCAGGGTGTGGTCTTACCAGAACTAGCACCTTCTCTTGTTTTTCCATGTTGTTTGTGTTCTCGTCATGGCTGTTGGTGACCCACACGCTGCTATTGGCCTAGAAGGATGTCGTTGTCATTGCTTTCTCCGTGAAGTGATGATGGAGGAGGAAAACCACAGCCTGCGTAGCCATCAGCCCGTGGGGAGTTGTGCCTGGAGCAATACCGTTCTAAGAAGAAGAATAAGCAGGACCCAGGATTTATGGTCCCGGCTCATATTCCCGGGAGGACGTGGGAGGACAGGGAAAAGGCCGCCCTGTTGGAGAGGGGGAGGGAGGAAGGAGGAGGATAGAGCCTGGGCTTTGACTTCATGAGCAGAAGCCATGAGTACAAGTCCAAACGCCGTGTGGAAGGAGCCCGCCGAGTCTGATCTATGCCCCTGCAACAAGTTCACAGTGAGTTCATCACCCGCACAGTCGAGGGTCTGACCTCTAGGGAAACCCTTTTCAGCTCAGTCCTTCAGGCTCCCCCTTGAAACCTGAAGGACGTCGCTAGGCATGAATCACTCCTGAGGTATCGGGAGGCCAGCCAAGGCCCCAGTTCCTGGTGTTAGTTTGGGGTTTGTTTATTCCCAACTATGCATGTGTCACACCCCTCGCCTCCAGGGTCAGCAACCCCATAGCTGCCCTGCTGGGGACTCCTCAGCTTTCACACCTCACAGGGCCTCACCAGGGCAGCGTTTCCATCTGTCCTCCTGGGGTCCTTCCAGGAGCATGAACTGAGGGTCCCTATTATTCCTATTTTTCTTAAAACGGGGGCAAGTTATTTAATTTCTTCAAGTGTCATCTTTCCCCATTCAAACACAGCAGCTCCTTGCCTGGCTGGTGTGGCTCAGTGGTTGAGTGTCAACTGGTGACCCGGGAGTTCAAGGTTCAATTCCAGGTCAGGGCACATGGCCTGGCTTGTGGGTTCAATCCCTGGTGGGGGCCTATAGGAGGCAGCTGATCAGTGATTCTCTCATCATCTTGATGTTTCTCTCTCTCTCTCCCTTTCCCTTCCTCTCTGAAACCAATAAAATATATATTTTAAAAAATTAATCCCTCTCTCTCTCTCTCTCTCTCCCTCTCCCTCCCTCCCTGCCTCCCTCCCTTTCTCTCTCTTCCTCTCAAAATCAATAAAAATAATTTTTAAAGACCTCACAAAACACAGCAGCCTCATCTTGCCTTTAAAATGCCAGTGTGCCTTATATTTGCTGCTTTAGTGTTTAAAAGTACTTTCTCATCCCTTCCTTCATTCAAACTTCAGGGCAGCCTCTCTCCCCTCCCCAAGTAGCTTTATTCTCCTGACATCTCTGATAGCTAGGACTGTGGATGGCAGGTGCTCAGGGTGTTTGCTTTGGATACACAATCTTTAGAGAGATAACGTTACTGGCAAATATTAACTTTAGATATTTAGCTTCTATTTGATCATCTTCAAAGCTGTTCTCAGTGGGCAAACACACTTACCGCACGTGACATCACTAAGTTATTTCTAAGCTGCAATGACAATGCGAGGTCAGCGATGTTCCGTACCTTCTGACTGTGGCATGTAATAAACATATCGAGGAGTGATGTCATCATTTATAAGGCAGTGCACTTGCATGCCATGCTGGTACTGGTTGCCTTTGACAGCAGAATGGGAAGTGCTACGAGGAGGGAGCCTTGGTTTGAACCACAGGTGGTCGGTTCTGCTGCTGGGAATGCTGGGATCAGAACATCTCCGGGCGATGGGCTGGTGTGGGCGGAGGACAGCTTCTTCCCTTTCGGCTTTGCTTTCACTTCGCATATTAATAACGTAACTTTGGACTCTTAGCCGTTTGTTGAATATTTCCCCTCAAATACTCTTGTGTCTGGAAGGACTTTATAAAAATATATGTAAATCTATCTTTCTTGTTTTCTCTCAGTCTTCTTCTGTCATGTTAGATAGGACCATGGTACCGCGGCAGGACTGTTCCACGTAGTGCTGGGTGTTCATTCCCTTGATTTATTAAGATATAAGAGTCCCTATTTAGGGCAGAGCAATGTATTTCACTACTGGAAAAGTTAAACATATATAGACAGGCAGAAAGAAGAAAATAAACAAAACGCTCCTCTCTCCATCCCACCTATCCACTCATGAACATCCTACACAGCTTTCAAAATCTGAGTCTCCCTGCCTCACCGTGTGTGCATGTGTGCATGCACTCATGCACACATCCATGTATACTTCTTATATTTAATATATATCTCAGTTCTGCAAAATTTAGTAACAGCTGAATGAAGATAGGATTCACACACCACAAATTCACTTTTAAAGTGCATGACTCAGTGGTTTTCAGTGTATTATTCACAGAGTGGTATAGCCATCCCCACTGCCTGAGCCCGCACATTTCCGTCATTCCCGAAGGAAACCCCATCCCCCTTGGCAGTGACTCCCTGTACAATAATGCAGTCGTTTGTGTCTGGCTTCCTCCCTAGAGAAACTCTTCAAGGCTCCTCGGTGGTGTAGACGGTATCAGAACTCCATTTATCTCGCGGCTGAGCGATGCTCCATTGCAGAGGTGCACCAGAGTTCGTTTGTCCATTCATCAGTTGGTGAACTCTGGGTTGTTTTCACTTGGGGGCTATTATGAATGCTGCTAGGAACATCCATGGGCAAGTACTTGTGTGGCCATGGATTTAGCTCTCTTGAATATATATTGAGGATTGGAATTGCTGCGTCACATGGTAACATTATATTTTAATTTTTGAGGAGCTGTGGAAGTGTTTTCCAAAGTGTCTGCAACATGTTCATTTCTACCAGCAACATATAAGGGTTCCAATTTCTCCACATCCTCGCCAACACTTATTATCTGTTTTTTAATATTTTTTTAATTATAGCCATCCTAAAATGAGGTGACATCTCACTGTGGTTTTGATTTGCGTTTCCCTGATGTCTAATGATGTCTTTCTATGTGCTTATTGGTCACTTTCACATATTCTTTGAAGAAACCCTATATAATAAAAGCCTAATATGCTAAGTGTCCAGTCATCTGGTTGTCTGTTCAACCAATCAAAGCATAATATGCTAAGGCCGCTCAACCACTCGCTATGACATGCACTGACCACCAGGGAGCAGACGCTCCTACTGGTAGGTTAGCTTGCTGCTGGGGTCCAGCCAGTCAGGACTGAGCTGGATGGGCTGGACATACCCTGGAGCCCCCCCGCGGTCCCTCCCCGGCTGGCCAACCTCCCGTGTCCCTCTCCAGCCCCATTTGTGCACCAGTGGTGTCCCGCAGCCTGGCCTGCACCCTCTTGCAATCTGGGACCCCTCAGGGGATGTCGGAGAGCCGGTTTTGGCCTGATCCCGCAGACCAGGCTGAGGGACCTCACTGGTGCATGAATTTGTGTACCAGGCCTCTGGTGTCTATTAAAATCCCTTTTCCATCATTTACGTAATTTTTGAAATGGTTGTTACAGAGTTCTTTATTCTGGGTTTGAGTCTCTTATCAGAGCATGACTTGCAAATATTTTCTCTCATTCTTTGGGTTGTCGTTTCACCTTTTTTGATGGTGTTCTTTGAAACACAAAAGTTTTAAAATTTGATGAGATTCAATTTATTTTTTCTTTTGTTTTGTGTGCCTTCAATTTCATATGTAAGAAACCATTGCTTGTTTCAAAGGCAGAAAGATTTACCTCCTACGTTTTTATCTGAGGTGCTAGTGATTACGTTTAGGTCTTCAATACACTGTGGGTTCATTTTTGCATATGGTGTGACCTCGTAATATTTCACTATGTCATATACCACCATTTACTTAACTACCTCTTTATTAGTGGGCATTAAGCTCTGGTGAGTACTTGCCATTAGAGCTTTGCAAACTTCCTGAATTATTTCCTGTATATAAATCTCTACAGTGGAGCTGTTAGGGCAAAACCTACGCACAGGGGAGTCGCGGCTCAGCACTGCACACATCTGCTTCCTGGAAGGTGGCAGGTTTTTCTCCTGTGAAGCGAGTGGCACTGCGTCCCCTGAATTCTCTTCCACTTGCAGCGTCATTTAAACACCCGTTTGCTTGTTCGAAAGGTGACAGATGAGTCTCATTGGTGCTTTGCTGGCATTTCAGTTTTTAGGAAGCTCAAATGTTTCTTATGTGTTTCTTTTCTTTTTTTAAATTAAATTTGTTGGGGTGACATTGGCTTAAACATTTGTTTTCTTTGATTGTGTGTCTTCCCACGAGTGCTCAGCTTTTCCTGTTTGGTAAAAGCAGTTTATATATGAAAGTCACCAATCCTGTGACTTTTAATGGTGGAAGCTTCCTCCTCCCTCGTTTATGGTGCGTTTGTTCAGTTGTGGTTTCTAGGTGCACAGGCTGCTTTCCAGGAGTCAGTGCCTCCATCTCCACGGCTCCTCCTTGTGCTCGCTCCCCCCTTCTTCCTCGGCGCTTCTGTCCCTCATGGCCGACAGCGAGGCCCCCTCTCCCTGCCCAGGGGCCTGCGCCCCAGACGGACCCTCGGCCCCAGGAGCACCTGTGCCCAGGTCGGCGCCACGGCTCCAGCGGTTCGGCAACAGCTCAGCT